AGGCTGCATGTGGATGGCTGCTGGAGGGCAGAAAGCAGCTCCTCCTGGCCAGCCGGGCCTTCCGGGTCCAACCCAGGCTCCGCTGAGTGGGCGGCCCCACCAGCTCCAGCACCTGTCCCCCCAGTAGGGCTGCGTGGGCAGAAAAGAGAGCAGGCTGAGGGATGGGTAGGATTTGATGAAAATGGTGATACCAGCAGCGCAGGCTGGCTTATTATACTTCAGAGTCTGTAATTTTTAAATTCACTCATCTATGCTCTAGGCCACTCTTTTGTATTACAAGTATATCCTTTTATCTTGTGGACTGTGGAAAGAAATTGATTTTTGTCTTTTGTTTTTTTGGGGGACTTTTACAAACAATTTTGACAACCCAGCCTTTATTCCAGAATTTTCCTTTTAGTTCTCTCTGAATGCAGAGTAGCTTCCCTATGTCTCATTTGTCCTATTTTGCTTTTGTGAGGCTCACATTCACTGTTTATTGGTAGTGCGGGTTTGTAGACATCAGGGTTTAGGAAGTGTGCCCACCTTTCGCTCCTGGGTGCTCCTCTTCCATGGATTGACATTGCTGTCCCTTCTATATGATGGCTTCTTTATGACATTGTTTTGATGATTGAACTCTTATCCTAAGTTCCTTGATCTTTAAAAAAGTTAGCCCCGTAGTGATATCCACCATCCTTGTCTTTCTCCAAGGGACATTGTAAGGATAATTTAGGGACCTATGTGTGAAGTATTTTGAGCTCAGTAGAAGGGAGAATCCATCAGACTCAAAGGTATTACTGTTATTTGGTTTCATACTATTACCATATGATCAAGAATACATTAATTTTGGAAATGGTGATAATTTCATGTTTGGAATTCTATTCTACCTAATCAGCATAATTGGCTTTGGCCTAAACCCTACACTTACCTCATTTTATAGATTAAAAACAAATAAAGGGAAATGATCAGAAATGTTTTTACTACATTTTTCATTGGCTGTTTTTTTAATTCTAAAAATAAATAAGTCTTTTAAAGGGAGCTGATTAAAAAGGTTCATTTCCTGGGAATGTTATGCATCTGCAATAAATAATAAATAATATTGTAGCAGTTGGCTGCCTCCACTTTCATACAAAATAAATAAATACATTTGGTGACATACATTTGAGGAGTGTGATTCTTATAATTTTCATGGAAATAAGGAATAACTTTACAGATGATAGAGATTTTACCATCTGCTAGTAACAACAACAACAACAAAATAACACAACTCATAACACGAGGCTCTTACTGAGTCTTAACGTATATATTGGCATGCCAGGAATCAGAATTCTCTACAACTTTAGTCAGCCATCCCCAGGGAAGCTGACATGACTTCCAGCATGTCGGGGGAAAGGTTCCTTTGCTTCTAAAGCAAATGGCATGGTCTTTACATTGCTTGAATGGCAAAGGAGGGAAGAGGACTGAGTTTTAATGGTGAGAGATCAAGAGAAAGGCACTCTCTGGAATTGTAAGTACCTGCACAGATTTCACTGGTAATTAGTGGAATGGTGGACTCACTGTTGGGAAGATACTGTCTATGAGTTAAAACATTTAGTGTTGGTAGAAAAGATAAGAGTTCAGACACTTAGAGAAAGATGGCGGGTGGCAGGTCCAGACTCTCTCTACAGTGACATTTGCTTTAAGCAGATAACATTTTATTTTCCAAGGCCTGACATGACTGGTGGGGGTTGTGGTTCTAGTGAAGGAGAAGGAGTCAGGTGGGTCACCATTAGGAAGAGTTGAATGCTCAGTGAAGGCAACAGAGCTGCCTTCCAAGGAAGGAGAAGAGAAACCAAAGGGAAGGCATTGAAGAAGTATTGGCTCTCTCTTTGGGTTTCCTTTGCTCTCTTCTGGAGAAGGTGGGGATGATTGTCATTTTTGGTCTTTCTGGTTTCATCTGGTGGCATGGAGGGTATTGCAGGCACAAGCATCATGGCAGTCCCATAAAAGATGGTCAGTGCATTTCTATTAGCAGGCTATGTGTGGGTGGTCCTGAGGGTATTCAGTCCTTCTTAGTATGAGAAGGCATAAGCTGGGTGTGCAGGCAGAGCCTCGTTAGAGAACTTTAGCAGCAGCAAGTTTAGAGAACTTTAGCAGCCTCGTTAGAGAACTTTAGCAGCAGGAAATTCAATTTCCACTCTCTCCGTGTTTCCTGCACCCCTTCCTCCTGGCACATTTTTCATAGTTAGGAGGAGTGATAGCGTCAAATATATCAGAAGGAAGAATTGATTCAGTAGTAGTGTGTCTTGGAATGCTTTTGGTTATCTTTAAATGGATTGGGGAATGAGGCAGCTTTAGTTAAAGAGGAGCAGCTTGCCTCTCCCCTCCAGCTTCCCCATATTTTGAAGTGATTCTTACTCTCTGACCCTGAAAATGTAGTAAGTCTGATAGCTGCCTAATTGATTATGGCTTTTAGCCTAATGCTAAACCCATGGGGCAAAGTAGGTAGAGTTTATAAATTTGTTTTCATTGCTATACTCTATATCGTCCCTCCCTTTTGTGTTACACTTCCTGTTTGGACCCTGATGTCCTGTGCCCTTTCCCCTTGGCCTTTGGCAGAAATGCTGACAAGCTCATGCACGTTCAGATACCAAGGGCTGGTCAGGTTAAAGTGTTTCCCCTTCTTGTGGTGTCTACATTTCTTACAGGGGTGAAGACATCTTAAACCAGAGGAATGACTCTCTAGTTGTGGAATTTCAATCATCAGCCAGCCGATGCAGGAGGTATTATTTTGGGCATGGGGGCCTCTCAGAAGCCCTGAAATCATCCTAAATGACCACCTGCCTGCTCCATGTCACATAAGGCCACTTCATGCATCACACCTGTCTTGTGTGTGTGTTGGTTTGATCTGCCTGAGGTCAGCGAGCATGTTTGTGGAAGTCTCTGTGCATGGAGTTCTGCACAGTAGGTGCTTCCCAGATGTCCGTACGTGCCGGAGAGGGGAAGAAGTGCAGTGCATGCAATGCAAGCTTATTTTTCTTACTGCGGATGCTGGTATTGGTCCCAAAGTGAGCAGGTTCATAGTAAAACTCCAATTTACTTCTTTGTTAAAGCTCACTTCATGCCCATCCACAGCATGAGTCATGTATTGTCAGAGCAGTCCCCATTTGAAATCCATGGAATGTTCATGAAAGCTGGGATTTCATATTGCAAATGTCCACAAGCAGGGCAGGACAATCATAGCCTCTTCTTTGAACTGGAAGCCTGGTTCTGTGAATAAGAGTGTCTTTTTCATCTTATGCCTCCCTTCTGCCAGTCACTATCACCGTAGCGCCCAAAGAGTTCTTAGTGATGGCAATGTTGGAGCTGTGAGCCTCTCAGCTGGTAAGGCGGTGGCTGTAGCCTCCGTTTATGTGAAGGTCACTGGTTGGATTCCCCAATCTAATAACTTTGGGTAACGTACTAAAGATGAATTAAAATGCTAATTGGTGACATGTTCTGGGTATTTTAACATTCCCTAATCTTAAATGTAAATGAAAAGCCTTAGGTGTTCTCACAGCCTTGCTGGAAGCGTATTTAGCATTGCCCCTTAGTGAATTTAAAGTATATTCTGTCCACCTGGGCAGAGCTAGAAGGATAAGCAGTATTTATTTTATGATCATTTTATTTGTGTCCTCTACAGCTACATGACACGCTGTTCTCTCTTATACTCAGGATAGCAGTTTAGCTAAAACAAAACGGGACAAAACAGAATCTCGCTCTTTTCATATGTTTCTGTAAACCCACAGCTCCTTTCATTATTATTTAAAAGTGGTACATTGGAGTTTGGGCACCTAAAGCTATTCCAAAGCCATTTTGTAGATTACCTTCACGTTTAAACCTTACAATGCCATGAAACATCCCTGTTTTATAATGAAGACACTGGGGTGTAGAGAGATTGTGTGGCTTCTCCGTCATCATGTCGCTGGTTACAGGAGAACCAGAGTCAGTAGGCAGCTGTCCTGGCTCCCAGCTCAGGCACCTGTGCATTAGCCTCGGTGGGAGCTCGAAGCAAAACAAGGTCACTTAAACCAAATGCTTCTGCTAGGAAATGAAGACAATGCTCATTCTGAGGGACCTGCCAGTTCTCCACCGAGTCAGGATTTCTTTATATACTGAGCTGAAAAAACAAGTGTATTTCCTTCCTTCAGTTAATGGGTCACTTCCTTATTAGTAGTTGAATTAGCCCCTTTATTTTCTCCTTATGAGGGGGAAGGAGCACTATTTCTCCCTTAGTCCTCCCAGTTATCTGGCGTCTGGTCACTTCATAATTGTATTTTGGGAGAATAGATATTAATTTTCTTTAACAAAAAGGCTGAGATCCTTGATGACACACCATAATTCAATTTCCACTCTCTCCGTGTTTCCTGCACCCCTTCCTCCTGGCACATTTTTCATAGTTAGGAGGAGTGATAGCGTCAAATATATCAGAAGGAAGAATTGATTCAGTAGTAGTTTGACGACTTGACTGATTAACAGAGATCAGAAGAAGGCTCATAACTGTGAAAACCACTGCAGCATGGAGTTTTAACAGCTCTTTAGGGAGCTAGTTAATGAAAGAATCAGTACAGAAACAGCCATGCAAAAGAAAAAAAAAAAAAGAAAGACAAGAACAGGAGCATTCCCATATAACACTCAGAGGCTATGTCATAAGGGGAAATAGGCTCATAATTTCTATTTACACATCGCTGTAATTACCGTCTGCCTTAAGATTACTTTCAGTCTTCTGTCAAAGTTGCTTAGATATTTCCTGTCTTACATATCAGGCAGAGAGGTCTAGTACTGGTTGGAACTTGCCCTAAGGATTTTTTTTTCCTCCTGAAGAATGTAATTATCAGACACCCAAGCTCCTACTGCTTGATTAGACTGGCTCTAATCTGATCCTTGTTCTCCTTATCACGGCCATTCGTCCATGAACCAGACTTCTGCACTCAGGTGAATGTTCCACTGGGCTTTAGCCTTTAACTTTTTCCTATGTGGTTTTTCTTTTCTTTCTCCTCATGCAGTGTCTATGAACCAGATAGAAATGTGCTACGGAGGAAAGAGCGAGAAAGAAGAAATCAGGAAACTCAGCAGGATGATGGCACATTTAATTCGAGTTACTCCCTCTTCAGTGAACCCTACAAGGTAGATGGTTTTCAGTTGTTCATCTTCTCCCTCACTTGTACCTCTCCCCCGTGATGACAGTCTCTCCTGGAAGAGTTAACCAACCAAACTTCAGCTGCTTTTCTGCCTCTTCAGCCCAGGAAGACAGCTCAGCCATTCAGAATGAGGTCTTCTCCCACAAATATTGGTGTCCAGTTCACACGACTCAACTGCCTGTTCCCTCAGTAAAATGTAACTTTTGCTTAATAATGAGAGCTGCTTGCTGTGATTTTTATTCATAGTATAGACTTCATTTCTGCATTGATTTTCAAAGTCAATGCCACTTGTAATGTGTTTTTTTTTTTCCCTAAGCTATTCGGAAATAAAAAGAGGTTGGGTAACCTATTTGCCACACATGGGTCATACTGTGGTCAGGCTACCTGATAGGGTAATGAGAAAAAAACTGCTGGATTGTTTCTCATTTACACCAAAGGCCAGAGATATAAGCTGTCTTCCAAAATGAAAGACCTTCTGAGATTTCACTAATGTCTAAGGCCTGCACGGAACCATGGGTAGTTTAGGCTGGTGTCTCCTTGCACATTGAGCCCCGTGTTCATTTTAAGCTGTATGCTGACTTCTTCTGCCTGTCACTCTGGGTTTCTGACAAGAATCACTATATATTTAGAAACTGGCAGCAGAACAATTTGAGCCAAATTTGAATTTTTAAGAAAAGCTTCCAGAGGGACTATAAAAAGGAGAAGAAACCCTAATCCTGGAAATCCTCAATCCCGATGGTTTTGTGAAGCTACGGTGGTATATTTTCTGATTTCCATAGCTGCATCACCCCACCGAGGATAGATTCCCTTTTGATGTAGTCTGAGGCTCTTAACGGCTTCCTGGTCCTGGTGCGATGCAGTGTGGATGGACTTCAGAGATGACAATTCTGATTTCATCTCCCAGCTCTCATTCTGAATGTGACAACCCTGACTCTGTGAGCCAGCAAGGCACCTCTCCATTGTCTCCTGTGTTTCTCTTCTCTCTAATGACAGGGTGCTTGTTGTGTTTTTCTTTCTCCAGACGAACAAAGGGGATGAGCTCTCCAACCGGATCCAGAATACTTTAGGCAATTACGATGAAATGAAAGACTTTTTAACTGATAGGTCTAATCAGAGTCATCTCGTTGGCGTTCCCAAACCTGGGGTTCCTCAGGCTCCTGTGAACAAGATCGATGAACATTTTGTTGCAGATTCAAGAGCCCAGACCCAGCCCTCGTCTGTCTGTAGCACTGCTTCTTCCACACCAGCCACCGTCCCCGCACAGCAGAGTAAGAGGGGCACCATGGGCTGGCAGAAGCCTGGGCACCCGCCATCGGATGGCCAACAGAGAGCAAGTAAGCACGGACACAGGTTGCTTGATTTGAACAGATCTGCTAACCCAAAGAACCATAATAAAAAACCTAACCAGTCTGTGTCGAGCCCCTCATCCTCATCTTCCTCTTCTTCTTCCTCTTCTTCTTCTTCTTCTTCTTCTTCTTCTTCCAACTCAGCACAACAAGGCTCTCTCAGGACCTTGCTTGGAGATGGTGTTGGCAGACAGCAGCCACGAGCCAAACAAGTGTGCAATGTAGAGGTGGGTCTTCAGACCCAGGAAAGGCCACCTGCTATGGCAGCCAAGCACAGCGGCGGCGGACACTGTGTTCAGAACTTTCCTCCATCCCTGGCTTCAAAACCCAGCCTGGTCCAGCAGAAACCAACTGCATACGTGCGGCCGATGGACGGCCAAGATCAGGCTCCTGATGAGTCTCCAAAGCTTAAGTCGTCCACAGAAACCAGTGTGCACTGCACATCATACAGGGGAGTCCCGACCACCAAGCCAGAGTCCGCCAGAGCCAAGGCCAAGCTTTCCAAGTTCAGCATCCCCAAACAAGGAGAGGTGAGTCCTTTCTCAATGCCACCTACATACATCTGAGTTGATCTCAGTGATGACTTGACAGTTAATAAATTCAATGCCCATGTTTCTTTATTTTCAGTGTGTGAACAACTTTGTGTGGTAGGATTTGTAGCAGTCGCTAAAGGAGGATATACACGTAAATAATAATTTCTTAAAATCTCAAATTGATTATCATCATTTTTTTTTTAAGTTCCAACATATGCAGTTATGTGTCTATGTTCATTCGGGAAGGAATGTTTCCTTCAATATAGTTCAAGGGATTTTTTTTATGAATGAGTCAGTGTCGACATGGATAGTATATATTAGAAATAAAAGCATTGTAAGGGCCATATATAAAGAGGTTAATTTTTATGTAAAAGAGTTCAGAAGTTCAACATTTTTGCCAGTTTTGAAATGTTCCAAAACATAAAGGAAATTTTATAATGATTTTTAAAGTAATTATTAAATGACTGAATATTGAATATGGTGAATATTCAAATGTATCAGATGTCCCATCCATATTATAATACTTAAAATCCAGGTTAATTGATGTTAATCAAGTAAGGACTCTCCTTGTCCTGTGAAAATGATCTTAAGGTTATGAAGAGAGTGAAATCTTTTAGTTCAGATTCTTCTGGTTTGCATCTTGAATTTAATCTGAAGTATTTATTTATTGCATTACAAAATGTGTAGACTAGATGTGTGGAATATGAGAACTCAAAAATGCAAATCACATAATCACGGAGGTAGCAAAGAGTCTAGTCTACTTGAACAGTAAATCTGGGTAGAAAATGAAGTCTTGTTTTAGAGAAACACATTTCATCCTATATTCCAAATTGATGACACTTGTCAAGAACACACAAAAAAGTATGCATGCACATTTTTTTGTTTTGCTGTGATGTGATATACTAACTAACATAAAATGTGAATTCTAGAGCACTGGACTTAGGAACTATTCAGTTTCTTTTTTCTTTTTGACGTATTTGGTTTTAAAGATGGAGTAACACTGTGGCTAGCATATTCTTTGTATCTTAATTTGATTTAATGACCAAATAAAACACAAAATGATTTGATGTTTCTTGTTGGGAGTCTGACACGGCTGAACTTAATCATTTCTGAGCTGAGCTCTCACCTCAAAAAGCACCATGCACCAATTGGGAGATCAACATAGTGCCCTTAGAGAAGATATATTTTTTTAATTCCGAGATGTTTACACAGGTTCTAATGAGGAAATTAAGTGACATGTACAACAGTAACTCCTTTTGATTTTTTGTTTATGATGGATCCCATAAAGTATTCTTAGGAATTAATAGAAGCAGTATATAACTTCTGTAAGCATTTATGTTTTGTAAAGTTTGTAGGAAACACATATGAATATCACCTTATAAAACTGAATTTATCAAGCCCTTTGATTTGTGTTATCATCATCAAATGACCTGGCAAATAAAACATGGCTTATCCTTGAACAGAGGTGACTGTAACTGCCAGGAATCCGTTATAATTTTAATCCCAATGGATTCCTTGTTAAAATGATTTTTATGTGCCAGAGAAACTTCAAATTTATTAGGTAGTAATTTATTTATTTACTTCGTAACCCAATGAGTTGATAAAGCCCTGGTTAAAAGCCCATTTTTGATAGCCAGTACAGCCCTATGCAGATAACTGTACAGTTTTCATTAGGCTTTTGGGTATGTCATTAATAACGTGGACACTTTCAGGACGCCCTTCCAAGACCCCAGATTGGGAATGACACATTGTATTATGGTTCGGTAATCACAGAAAGAGAGAAATGCCTGAGATAGAAAGTCATACCAAGAAAAATTAGAGCTTTTACACAGGAAGTGTTTCATTTCCCCCATGTAATGACATTGAGCCTGTTCGCTTGCTCCCTTCCTAACATTTTATAGTGAGTACTTTAAAGAGGCCAATCATGCATTGATAGAAAAGAGGTAAGAAGTGTTGTTCACAGAACAAAGTTTTAATCGGTGATTCGGTTTTTTTTGTTTGCTTTTGTTTTTGTGGGGGTTTTTTTGTTTTGTTTTTTTTGTTTTTGTTTTTGTAGGGGAGATAATATGGTCCTTATTTTAGCAAAAAACTATGTATTATGGAAAATATGGTAATTGAATTGTGCAGCACTTGTGTGTTGCACTCCAGTCTATTATAATAAGAAAATGACTCTTTCCCAATTAGCAGCAGGGTAGTATCTATAAGTTACATTTCCTATCCTTCAGACTCAAAAAGAGTTTTTTTGTTTGCTTGTTTGTTTTACAGTACTCCCAAGAGATTCAAAAATACCTTTTGCAGGTATATCACTCAGTGTTTATAGGGCATCCCTATAAAATGCACAATCGTAGCATAGAAACTGAAGAATTTTATCGGCTAATCAGATTTTGCTTTTTGAGGAAACATTTGCTTTTATTTTTTGGAGAGAATAAAACAAACATGACAAATAATTAAGAAATATTAATGCCAATTTTTTTTTACACAGATAGTACCTAGATGAAAATGTCCTCTTGATAGTACTAACATTAATTTCCAATAAGGTAGGGAATGCATTTTTAAGGGAAATTTACAGAGGCTGTGACCGAAAGGGAACTTTTTCACGACTTGACTATAGTTTCCCAGGACGTTAGCTATAGAGCAAGACTTATGCCAGTGTGAAGGATTTGGGGGCTAAAAGGAAGTGTTAGGTAAAAATGACATAAAGACAAGGGAGATGCAAATATAGCTGAATAGCATTGTGTAGGTACAGTCCTCATAAGAAATCAAATCAATGACTAGGTATAATGCAATAGGAGAAATTAAAAAAAAATTGAGATGTGATCTCTGCCTGCAAGAAATTTACATGAATATATTAAACTCCAGCACTTAGCTTTTAATTTGCAATTTCTCTCACGTACAGTCCAAACTAAATTTAAAATTGGCCTTCTAGTTCTAGAAAATTTCCTCACCTTCATAATCCTTATAGTAGAAGAATCTTGTGTTGTTTTAAAAAATTGAGAATTTGTGAATTTCTTTTGCCTGATTTTATACTTCTTAAATTCTTCATTCTTTTTCTTACAACATCTGCACTCTATCTGCTGCCATGGTGAATTATTTGTTATAATTCTTTAGTCTTCAATAATAGGTAATTAGTGTGGAAAAATTCAGTGCAATTTGATGTGGAAGTTAAAGACCTCAAGGGATTTCTTTAACTGATACACCTGTCTCTTGGCTGGTTTTCCCCAGCTCAGTTTTGTGTTTAATGAAAAACATATTTTTGTTGTTATAGCTGACTTTTTTATTCTTGATGCCATCCCTCATTAAGTGAGCCTTCCCTGGAGTGTCACTTGGAAGGGTGACTAGTGTTAGGTGAGAGAAGATACAGGGACATAAGAAATGACTGCAGATGCATTCTAGAACATTCTAGGGTAGGGCACACTAAATCTTATTTCCAGTTGAAGCAAATTATTTTTTGTTTCACATACACATACAAAATAAATGTTTTGCCCTTAAAATGTAATTCAAGATCCAGACACTGGGGTCTATTAACCTAGTGGGGCAGATACAAGTTTTGTGGGACCTAAAATGTATACTGTCTTCGGGGTTTTCTTCAGGAAAAAAGGAGTAGAAAATTACCTTATACTTGAAATTTTTGCAAAAACAAGTATTAACTCATTGCTAGAGCCCCTCCTGGGGCCTTGGAGGAATCTTTGCTTAAGAGGCCCTGGAGCTTATGCGTCATTAGCTTCCTGCTGTATCTATCTTTGGCTCATGGAATAATAAGAAATTGTTATTAAAATGATAATTTTAGATTTGAAAAGAGTGCTTTATATTGGCCTCAAACTTGGTAGAATTTAAAAATACATATGTATATGCTAGGTGATATAGGAAGGCGGAAATGGGACAATCCTATAAAACAGGCCTAATATGCAGTGCTGTTGAGATAAAATATGGGAATATGGGCCTTACGGGCCATGAAGTTAGTTTGTTTGGAAGTTTCAGCTTCAGTGGCACTCCAAAACATACACATTTTAGTTTGTGTTTGTTATTAATTTAATGAGTAGCAATGATTTAAGGCCGCCCTTGCAGAAGGGCTCTGATGGCTGAGAATAGAACAGATCTGAAAAGCCAGGGAAAGAAGGAAGGAAAGCAGGGCCTGCTGCTCTTAGCTGAGTCAGTGATAAGGAAAGAGACACCTGAATTTGAATATCAATTAATAGACCGTATGTATATGAGGAGTTTTCATAGTGGTTGATACACAGTGGTTCATCCACAAGAACACAGAAACCGTTTTTGGTTGATCAGAATTTCATTTGTTAAAGTAAGTAAATAGTTTAAGGTGTATTGATTAATCAGCATATTCATGACAGGCATTTTAAAATCACCATTTATACCATGAATAAGAGCAGAAAGATAAAGCACCATGATTCCACAAAATAGCTTCCTAGAAAAGCAATTAGCTGATTTTTTTTCTAAGTTCACAGAAGATAAATGATGTAGGCTTCCTATTTCCTGTCACTCTTGGTTACCTTTGTATGAAAATGGATTTCTTCCAAATTAAAGTCGGCACCAGCCTGTCGGACGGGAAAGGCATCTGCAGAGCAATGTGTACATTACATATTCATGCCAGTCTAAATTTCTTAATTACATTTGAGATGTATAATGTTTTCAAATGGAAGTATGCTATCTGATTGCTCATTGATGAAACGAGGGTGTGTGGCCAGGCTGGCGACTCAGTTTCTCTGTCTGTTGTGGTTTCACCCTCCTCACCATCATCACCTCCAACCTCCTTCACCCACTGCAGACCGAGGCCACGTCCTGTGGGACAGCAGGGCTTAGCAACAGCACAGATGGTTACGCTCTGTGCTTCCTCCTCTCCCTGTCACACGCGCTGTGCGTTCTTTTAGTGAGGATGCGGGCAGCTTGCACCCCTTAGACTTAGAAGAGTGAAGACCCACAACTTTGATCTCAGATACTGGATGAAAGCACTTGTTTTCCATCTTATAGATGGGTCACTCTGA